TGTCTCTGTAATGGACATGGATAAAAAGGTCCACAGTCAAAAATGACCATTTCAGTGGAGACATTTATGTCAGTGGGGAGAATGAATCTACCACCAGTATAACCAGCAGTGGTTGTGTGACTGGTTATCTGAATAAAGGGAAGTTAATTCAGAACTAAATTGCAGTTTTATTCTGGATGTGGATTAATCATTAGAACTGAAATAAACCAGAATAAATCATTGGCCACTGCAGTTCAAGCAGGTCATTCAGTTTTACTGAATCATGCACTGATGCATTCAGTAAAGACGTCAATTCAAGCCATAATACTGGACCCAGAGTTTCCTCTAGATGAGGCATTCATGTGCAGTTTGACTGATGGATGTCAGTGTTAGATGGACAAGTAAACAAAGCATTTGGGCAGATTTTCTATCCACAGTCAACAGTATTTATTTTAACCCTGCCTGTTATTTTTCTCTAATTTTAACAAAGTAGATTTAGTTGCCTCAACCTCACCAAGCCATAGAGATGGCAGATCAATACACATCTGTAATGTTGATCAGATTATAAAACACTCAACGTATTTTGTTGTTTTGATGAACTTGCTATAATTACTCCACCTTTTCAGCTCATTAGTGCTGACTTTACCAATATCACCTGTTTGTGCTGTTGATGACGTTTATCGTGTTCACACACATTTACAGGATATAAAACCGATAATGACGATCTGTCGTGGAGTCGCTACGAACAGAGGCGACTTGAACGATCCTCTGGTGTCCTATTCACAGCTTTGCTCTTTGCATAAAACTCAGAAAACAAAACCTCATCGATCATTTTTGAAAACAGATTTATGTAACATCTGTTTTTATTCACAGTCATGCAGTAACAGTGTTTTCTCAACATAAAAGCACTTTAACATTAACCACATCCAGTTGTCCATTTCCCAGCGAAACAAAAACATCTGTCAGTGGTGAAAAGCAGATAAGTACATTTAATCATGAACTGTACTTTGGTACAAATTTTACATACTTGCACTTTACTTCAGTATTTCTATTTTCTCCTTCTTCTTCCATCTACTCTTCACCCCATTTTAAAGGGAAATGTTGTAGTTTTAACTCCACTCAATTCAACCACCCTTACCTCACATTAAAGTGTATAATTGAGATCTTAAGGGTCCCTCCCATATTTTACACTTATCCTGTGTTTTATTTGAAGTGTTGATCCATAAGAAGATACATTTGTGGTTTTAAGAACCAAAAACCATCTCAATGTAATGTTACATCTCCTCTCTCAGGCTTCTCTCTGGAGCTCTAGTAACAACAGGTCGGTGAGCCAATCAGAAGAGAGGAGGCTCTGAGCCTCTCTTCTGATTGGCTGACTGTTTTCTTAGTGATCCAATAAAAAATATAGCAGATTTCAGGTAAACGCTCTGAAACAAATTCCTGTAAGGTTGGATTGTGGGTCGAGGTGGGCGGGGCTGGGGGCAGTGACTGCTTTGTTGTGACATCACAAAGTTCAGGAAATCCTGGCGGCTCGTTTTAAGGCTCAGTTTCTAAATAAAGGCTGTGTGCATTTCTCTGTGGACTGAGCGTTTTGATGCTTTCACAGTATAGAATATACAATATAGAACCTAGAACTGCTTTATAATCAAAGAAGACATGGAGATCCACCTTTATACAATATGGGACCTTTAAACTAAAGATCATAATACTTCTCTCACAGCTGCCATTTAAAGAAAACCTGTCTCAATGTACGTGACAAGCTGTTTTTACACATTTGATGGCACCAAACAGAGAAAAATCCTGGAGGAGAATCTTCAGAGACTTGAGATTTTTTTTCCAGCAGGAAAACATCCATAAAGATGCAGACCGAGCGTCTCTCAGTGGCCCAGTTAGTCCTCTTCATCCTCCTTCTCCCCCTTCTCTTCGTCCCTGAACGCCCCACAGAGATGCCACAGAGCCTCGACTTGTTTTAAAGCGTATCATGAATTTATTGGAGCCTCAGTTTTAATGATGTCACCCTCATTCATATGGAAATGGATGAAAGCATTTTGACACGTTGACGTTGATCCAGGGCGACCTCTGAAACTCCCGTCACCAGGCAACCAACATATTAACTAACGTGGCAACCAGCTGTGGTCCATTTACTTCACAACACGGTATCCATTCATTAGAAATTTTTTTTTAAAAAAAGAAAAAGATGTCAGCGCAGCACTTTCAGCTGAGTAATTGTTGAGTAAGACACAGCTCTTAATTCATGGGAAGTTGCAGGCTTTCCAGAACATAAATTATAATAAGAAGTACTTGTTGCTTTTTTAGGATTGAAGAGCCTCAAACAGTGTGAAATGACCCTGACTGAAAATGAGCAAACTTAGTAACATACAGTACATGAAACACAGAAGACATAGAGCAGAGGTACAAGAATAATTTCAGACAGACTGTCTCTGCAGGGCTGGAGCATAACTTTATCTTTGTCACATAGTTTCTAGAGCCAGGAAATTCATGTTGGGATGAGATGAAGTGGGCAGGACAAGCAGCATCTACCACAGCTGACTGTGATAAAGCTGTACACCTGTCAAAGCCCATCTGTGAGTCTTAAATCAAAAGGTCACCATTTTGGGAAATTATTGACGTTCTTGCCAAGTGACTCTCGCATCTGCACCGTAAATATGAACTAAAGTCAGCAGCCAGTTAGCGTAGCTTAGCATAAAGAGTGGAAATATATGAGGAAAGAGCTAGCTCTGTCCAAAGCTAACAAAATCCACCTAGCAACACCTCTGAAGCTCACTGATTAACACGTTACAGCTCGTTTGTGTAAGACTTTCTTGTTCACTGCAGTAACTTCCTCAAGAAGTGAATAAGCAGACTTCCCAAATACCTACCTCCTGTTAATAGGATTTAAAAATTTCTGACTTCAATGTTTACTGGGGATAGTCTCATGAAAAGATCATTTTCAAGATTCAAGAAAATTTTGCACCTAGAGGTTTTAGGGCTTGTTTTTCCCTTTCCCTTAGTGTGTTGCAGCTTTTTGTGAATGTAAAAGTTATACCAAAGTCCAAGGCAAAGGGAGTTATTCTCTCCTATAGAAAACTCCTGAAGGGCCTGCAATGCCTCATATCTCCACCAGGCTTTTCTTCCCCAACTTATCTACATCACTACATTAAATATTAGTATAATGCCCACCTATGGGTTAGTTTGGCATGCCCTCAAACAAAGCTAGTCAGAGCAGAGGTTGGTAAGAGTTTGGCTAGTTTTAGTGTGTCACCATGTCGCAAAGACACTGTTTTTTTTTTGTAATGTTTTGTTTTGTTTTGTTTTTTGGTGGAAACTTAAATTCTCTTTGTATATAAATAACTGAAGGTGCAGAATAAATTTTACAAGCAACGTTAGCTTTAGTTTTTCCTTTTTCACTTTAGTCTGCATTTCCACCATGTACAAATATTCATGGGGGCATATATATAAAAATGTTTGTATACAGATTCAGATTGAAAGACTAAATCCAGCGTTATGTCACAATAAGCAGGTAATGGTAATATTTACTGAACAGAGACATCCTGGCTATGGATGTTCATGCTCCACTCTCATATTCTGGATCAGATTTGAGTTTGAATGTGCGGATGAATTTGACACGTATTTTCCAATCAGTTATTTTCTGTTACATAGTGTTAGCTACTAGCTAGTTAATTAGTTAGATAATTAAAGTTTGCTTTTAGAACCTCCACATTGGTAAGAAGATGATGCTCACAAGTGCTGGATACGCTGTCTGTCGTCAGGCTTCCAGAAGTTCAGCCAATCAGAACAAAGTGGCCTTTTAAGGAGGATTCCTAAGGAGACCCAAGCTAATACTGCCTGTTTCAGTCAAGGTTCAGCTGAGAGGCTGTTTAACAGGCAGACTGAGATAAATACTGAATCATGCAGAGCTGCATTAGTGGAGACCCAGAATAAAAATACAGAGCTGGAAATGAGCATGAAGGTCCACTTTAATGAAAAAGTGGGTGTTAGCTGTTAATGAATAATGAATGAATAATGTTCATTATTTTAGGCCTTTTTTTTACAATGAAAAACTGTTTTGTAGTACTTTAAATTTTGAATATTGAAAAACAATTTTTTAAATAAGATTTAAGAATTTCATTGTCATATAAAATATTTGGATTCCAGTTACATTTGTAAGTTATTTGCAAATGTGTTTTTTTCAACTGCAAATTGGGTTTTATTTTTATTGTGTATTTTTTTCAGAGTTGTGCTCTGAGAAGAGTTAGCCACAGGACAGAGCAGCGTCCAGGTTAAAGCTTTTCAAACTTTTATTTTTTGAAAGCTGGATTTTAAATTGGCTTCTGGGCACAGTGACTGAGTTACTGAGTATGTCAGCTTTCAATCACATGAAGGGATTGTCTCTGTTTTGCTTCAGTAAAATGTGATTTTGGAAATTCCAGAAAAGTGAAATACAACAGAACCAGTGTCAGTCTCTGCCTACACACACACACACACACACACAACACACACACACACACACACACACACACACACACACGCACACACGTGGACGCCCTGCAGACAGCGCAGTGTTTCCACTCTGACCAGGTCTGACCAGGATCTCTTCATGCCCTCTCACCATCATTAGACTGTGATTATTTTTATTACTGAGAATGTGGTTGTTCCTTGGAGTTAATGGAGTTAATCATCAGCTGTCATTGTGGGGGAAAACACTCCCTCTACTTGACGACATGAGGTGGATCAGAAGAAGAGCCTCTCTTCTGATTGGCTCAATCCTGGAAGCGAGAGAAAGTGCTCTTTTTTGTCATTTTATTTTAAAGACAGATGTATTAGATGTCATGGCCTCTGTGTAAACTGTGTTGCACGGCCACAGCTGTTTATGTTTGGAAAATACTTGGTGAACTCGTCTTGGTAGTCAACAGGTGTAACAGATTCATCTGCTCCTCACACAGTTTACAAGCTGCCAGACTTTGTTCCATGTCCACTGTGTACTTACTGACTGTTCTTTGTTTTCCGTCTTCATCCCGTAGAAGGAGAGTGACCAGCAGATAACCGCCCAGGTGGAGGGCAGCCTGACCACCTTCACTCAGACGGGACTGGCAGCCGGTCAGGAGTACAGCGTCACCATCACTGGAGAAATCGATGGCAGGAGAGGAGCTGCGAGCTCCGCCGAATTTATGACCCGTGAGATTTTTTACTTTTTTTGTCCTTTATTGACGACAACACCCATGATTCTGTATTTGTCCTCAGGCAATTTGAACAAAGACTTTAAGAGTAGAAAGTGTTTTACATTCACAAGAAAAATAACATTTCTGGAGGAAAGTTGAAAACATTAAATGTAATGGAAATGAAGGCTATTGATTGACCAGTGCAATACATCTGCTGCAGCATACCTGCATTGAGGAAGCCACATTCATCAAATATGGCAGACAGGGAAATCTGGAATATACTGCAGTTGACAGGTCATGATTACAAATGTAAAAGTGCAGTTTCAAGTGTGCTGGTTAGAAAAGGGATTTTCTGACCAATGTGTTGGCAGATGTGAGCAGCTCAAATGGCCAAACTGGCAGAGATAGTTTAAACATTTCCCTCTCGTTGCCCTTCCTGTGAAAGATGTAATCTGTGATGGCTGCAGGGACTCTGCCCAGCGGCCGACAGTGAGCAGAAAGACTGAGGCTGCAGGATCATAGCTGCCAAGTCTGCAGGGTAAATTTAAGGTTGAAAGAGTGTTTGTGTACCTATTTTCCCCCATGGAATCACTGCTAAACATGGATGAAGTCAGCCCCCTGACCCCTTGGGCTCCTGGGCCTGTGATCAATGGGCCAAACTCTGTGTGAAGTATCTGTTAATATTTATTGTTTGAGGGTTATTGAGATCAGTTGAAATACATAAAATTCCCACAAAGATATGCAAAATAAATTATATCAATGCAAAAGACCATAAAAAGAAACAAAAGAACTATAAAGAGAAAAAAACATGACCATAAAAGAAAAACAACCATAAAAGGTGCAAAACAACCAGAGACACAAAATGGTCACAAAGAGAAACAAAGGGACTCCAGAGACAAAAAATTACCAAAAAGAGACAGAGACAACCTCAGAGATACATAATGGTTACAAAGAGACACAAAATGATCACAAACAACAAAAAAACAAGTTGAAAAAGTGACACAAATAGATGCAAATTTACCACAAAATTTTTCTCACAATCGTCATGCTCCTAAAGCTACATGTCACCTGATAAAAGACAGACTGTAAAAACTGTAAGTTGTGCCTTTTGCCATTTTTCCTCCTCTGCCTCTCCATTATCAGTGATCTCCGGTCCCACCAACCTCCGAGTCGTCAAGACGACCTCGACGTCTGCGGTGGTCCAATGGGAGAAGTCGCAGGGTGAGATTGACAGGTACCGTTTGACCATCACGCCCAGCGACGGAGCAGGGAGCAGTGAAGAAATCACCGTCCCAGCTAACCAAGACTCCGCCCACATTCAGCAGCTGGAGGCGGGACAATTGTATGACATCATCCTTGTGGCGGAGAAGGGCACGAGTCAGAGCGAACCAACAACCACCCAGGCGGTTCCTGGTGAGTAAGACTGAGAATAAGTTTCTCTGCAGATGAATGAAATTCAGTTTTAGAACAGCAGATGTGACAACAGGCTTTGGTATCAGTACGTTTTTTACAGTACGTAACATTTTTTTGTTGAAATATGCTCCAACATATACAGCAGCTTGTATCCAGTACACTGGAGTAGAAAACAAATCTACCTTTCTTAAGTGCGCATCTATGGAAGGTCATACTAACTGGAGCACCAAATGTGGATTAATCCGCTGCTTAAAATAGTCCCCAAACACTATTACAGTGAGCAGGTGTTTCAGGGAATTATGAAGTGTTTTAGAGATTTACATGTCCAAAGTGCTTGGAGCTGAGAGCCACAAACCAACACATTCCTGTTTTGTTTTGTTTTTTTGGTCTTTTCATGTGATTTGTGGAAAATAAGAAAGGTATAGAATAATAAGAATAATAATAATAAGCTTTACCCTTCATGTTTTAAGCTTGAGGGCAATTCCTTTTGAAGATGACCCAGAAGACTCTGAACAAGTTTCGTCAGAATTTTATAAAAGGTTTAACTCACTCCTCATCTTGTCTGAAAATTTTATACTTACCCAATTTTTAGCAATACTGCTAAAGCAAAAGTTAGAAATAGGCAAAAGAGACAGTATGAAAAACAGACAGGGATTGAAAACTTTTATCACAAAGGAACAAAAGGAAATAAATCTCCTGAACAAGCTGCAAGGACTCTTCGACCTTTCTTCTGTTAAGTGTGAACAAGTTAAATTTGTCTTATCCAGACTTTATTCAGGTGAGAAAAGCCTTGCTAACTGAGAAACTTTATTTGTCCAGACACCTCAGTATTAAATGGAACACATCATATAAAACTCATTGCAGTGTGGAGAAACATTACTGTGAAAGTTAATGAAGCAAGAAATATTCTGTAAACTGCTCCGTTTTCCTAACTCGTTAAATTTCCTTTCTCAACAGTGACACAGACACCAAAGCGTGTTGAATTCCTCTGTCGAACCTCAGAATTTTTAATTATATTTCAATTTTCTTCTTTCAGGTTCTACATGGAGACCACAGCCCTAAGTTGTTTGTTTTCCCTTGCACAATCACTGACAAACTGCTGTAAATCAGGGTTCCTGAAAAGTATCATAATGACCCTGTTTACACTGAGTCGTGTCATGTGTCTCAGCTCTCAAAAAAGTGTAAATACATCCATGAAGCATTTGAGACAGATTGAAATCTGAGATGAGTTCTAGTCAGATGTTAACAAAGATGTGTGTTTCTGCAACACACATACTTATTCTATGGTGTAACTACATCAGAAAGCATTGCGTGGAAAAATCTACGACGTAACAGTAAATAAACTGTCTGTGGTCAGAGGTTCTTCTGGTGTTTTTGGCAGTTACCAAACAGCTTCAGGTCAGCTTCCTAGAAGAAGGTGGGTCGGCCCACCTGAAGGAGGGCCCTGATCCTGATTCATACATAGCCAGGAATACAAAGATGGATTGTGATCAGATTCGTAATCTGGCCAACAGAGATGCAGATAGGTGGCTCAGTGTAAACAAGGGATTACCAGGTTTTTATCTGAATATGAGACACTTGAAATGACAAGTGTAAATGGGGCCAATGAATATTAAAACTGCTTTTCCTTCCTTTGTTGGACATAATGTCTTCTGTATTATTAACAACATCAGTGACCTTAACATTGAATCCAAATGCTCACTCCCTTCACATCTTCAGGGAAATCATTACCAAGGGTTACCATGGCATCTTTGACCAGGCAGGTCACACTAGCACCGGGACAAGATGTTGGCAACGTGGACCAAGGATTTAACCCATTACCTGAAGTGCAAGTCTATGACCAACAGGGGAGGGGGGAGGAGGAGAGAGAGATTGACTCTGTAAAAGTTGGACGTATCAATGGACCTAACAAAGACTCCTCAGCTTCCGTGATTGCAAGAACTAAACCTCTGGTCAGCAGGATTATGGCGATAAATGGCACCAAGCCCAAACTCACTCAAAGACTCACATTGCCTGGGAAGCCAAAACTCCAAGGGCCTCTCCGTTTCAACACAACCAGAGTTGTGCCCGGAGGAAGAAAGGTTGGCTATGGCCCTTTGAAAAAGCCCCTAGTGGGGCAGAAGAAGAAAGCACCAATAGTGCTCAAAAAACCTAAAACAGGTGCCCCCAAAATAGGAAACAGGACAATAGCTTTGACTGTAAAAGAACCTAGCATTGAAGCATCAAGCACTGAGAGGAGGGATGACAAAAATCCAGCTATAATGTCTGGAACTGATTCAGAAACAAACAGACAAAGTAGCTCAGAGGAACCAAAAGAGCAACCAGATGTTGGCATGGCAAGCCAAGGAAAGGACACTGATCCAGTGTCTTCAGAGCCAACTGGGACTTTTCAGAGCCAGGAGAAGAAATGTCTGAACAAAATTAAAGTGACGCACATCAGATTACCCCTTAAGGACAGAGGCAGCGGGTGTAGAGGGGATGGGACAGTGTTGGTAGGAAACACATTGGGTTCAGATAAACGTTCCTTTGAAACAGATGGTACACCCCTTTCTGATCTGAAACCCTTGGCTGCAGAGACAGACGTTGACTATTCACAAGATCCTCTACATAAACTCCTGACAGACACTTTTGACACTATGAATATCACAACATTTTCTGTTCACCTGTCCAAACCAGTTTTAACAGGACTGCAGCCACTGTCATCATTTTCGTCCTCATCATCATCCTCATCAACCTCACACTTATCACCTACTCCATCATCATCCCTGCCATCATCTTCATCCCCACTGTCTTTAGCATCAGCTTCACAAGTTTCATCCTCATCAACAGCAGCACCATCATCATCACTAACATATTTAATTTCATCATCACCGTCACTTTCACCTTCTTCATCATCAAAATTGCCATCATCGTCACTAACATCACTATCACTGTCGTATCCATCATCTTCTTCTTCCAGCTCTGATAAATCAGATTTAGTTGGAAGCAGTGAACTAGATGCTGGTAACAGCAAAAGCAGCACTGAGTCTGCATCATCAGAAGGAAGACCGCAGCCACCCTCAGGAGAAGGCGGCGTGCCTCTTTATCGCCACACACCTCCAAAACGGGGCTTCATACGTCGTCCACGCCCAAATTTAGGTTTGTTTCACAACAAAACCCATCTAAATTCCAGAGTTCCTCACCGTTCCCCTCGTCCTTTGAACATTATCCCTAGAGAAGAGTCAGAGTCCAGACATACATCCACAAATGAATCTTCGTCTTCATCTGTTTCAGAGGAATCATCTTCAGTTGAGGTAAATACTCCAGTCAAGGATGCAGGTGGGGACAAATATGGGGCAGCTACACCTGCATTCTCTGGAGTTGAACAAAACCAGAAAAAGATTCTGACAGAAAGAGGACGAATCCCAGTTCGCCGCCCTCTTCCAAAGGATGGATTTGTGCGTCGACCCTTTCCAAACATGGGATCTCTTGAGAACCGAATTCGTTCAAGGCTCTTGACTCACCCCACTCAAACTTTAAGTCCCAAAACAGAGATACAAAAACAAAAGATATCTCCCACTGAATTGCCAGCCACTTCCTCTCCTGTTTCCAAAGAATCCTACCCAGCTGCAGGTACAGAGCCAGTAGGAGAGGAGAATGAAGATAGATCTGGGATGAAAATCTCCACAACAAGTGTGTCCAATGAGTTAAATCAGACTCTTAGAGGTAGTGAAATGCCTTCCTCCCATCGCCCAACCACCAAAGTTGGTTACTTCCGTCGTGCCCAACTGTATGGTGGACCTTTTCAAAACAGAACACGTCCAAACCTAAGACCACCTCAACATCCAAACAGAGGTGTCATGCGCAAACCTTTCCCAGTCAGAAAGTTGCATGGAGGCACTGATATTACTCTTGGAAGTCAAGTGAGCCAACTGCAAAATGATAGTACCCCTGAAATCCCAGATAACCATTCAGGAAAACAGGATGTCCCCAGGCCTACCCAAGAAGTCCAAATTACACAAGCAGTAGAACAAGGAACTGCAGAGATAATTCCAAGTGCCCAGATAGATGACCATGATGCTGTCAGACCAGAGATCAAATCAGAAAAGGAGGATAGTGTTCCAATCCAAACTACTAAATCTGGGGAAGAAGAAACTAGCACCCCAGATTCTACTTTTGACTCTGACATCCAGAAACAGAGAGTCGATGCTGGTAAAAATAATGCCCCTACCGTTCGAGGTAAACCTGCTTACAAAAAAACTAACTCTGATTCAAGAGCCTCAAGACCAGTCACACTTCCAAGGAGACAACCACCAACAAGAATTATGACAGGACAACAACGCACGCAGATGAGACAATACATCAGTGGGAGCCAAAAGGGAGAGGATCCAAAAAAAAATAATACTGCCAAAAAGGTGTTTGAACGGAAAAGCAGTGCTGATTCCAAACCTCTGATGGAATCAGATATTTCTTCTACTGGAGTCACAAGGGAACCCCTGGACTACGTAGGAGTGACGAACCGCTCCTCAGATGGATTTACACTCGTATGGGACTCCCCGGAAGGAAAGTACAAAAACTTTGTTGTGACTAGGAAGCAAGTTAGAAAAGTTGAAAAACCAAAAAAGGAGGAAAGGAAGAAAGATCAGGACAGACAACAAGAGGACGTTAATAAAGAGGAGGAAGGAAAGCATCTACCAACCAAAGAACCAGAATCTGGAAGGAGCACTGAAGATGAAAACAGAGTACCAGAAATAGTCGAAACACATATTCCAGGGATACAAAGCAGCACAACAGTTAAACCTTCATTAGAAAGTGACAAAACTTTCAAAGAAGTTCTTCCTGGTTCAGCTCGCTCCCTCCACTTTGAGGATCTGCCTTCTCAGACCGAATACACCGTGACCTTGCTTGGAAAGGGTCCTGGCCTTCTGTCCAGACTGCACAAGCTTGTCATCAGTACAGGTACAAGTCATTGTGACAGTAGAACAACATGAATTACTACTGTACAATGCTACAACATTACTGTCAATGTTGTAAAGCCTCTTCAAACAGTTTGCTTTCCTCTTGAGCTACCGCAATCAATCTCAGTCTATTCAGAGTTATAAAGCTGTTCACGTGTATGTCACATCTTAATTGCACTTTATATTGAACTGATTAAAACACATAATCAATTGTTAACTAATCATCACTTACCTTGAGTATGACTGGAAATATTTGCTTACCCACTAAATGCCTACTCCATTTTCATTTCAAGAGCTCAAGTGCTGTGCTGCTCTTGAAAACTGTAAGCTTGTATTTACAGTTTCAGACACATCAACCATGTTTTTCTCATTGATTCAGTGACATATAATCTGGTTTGTTTTCAGCAGATTTTGATGTTGAAAAAACCCATTAAGAATTTGTGTTCAGGCTGTTTGTGTACTCACTCCTCAGCTTTCATGAATATGTGAAATACTTGTATTCATGAATTAGCAGTCATACAACATTATAAACACATAAAAACATACTCAATTGTTTGATGTCAACGGATATACATTGGCACAGTTCGTCATATTGTAAGCTCTCTCAAGTTTGTATTGGCTTCTAGGTACATGTGAGCATTAGCGTCAGTTTCCTTTTCAAAGAAATTCAAGTTTCTATCTAAATACTGAGAAGATATTTGATTTTTTAGAGACAGAGAGTTGAGGTGAGTGCTAAACCAAAGACAATTATCTCAGTTTTGTCTGCACTCAGCTGGAAAAAGATCATTTACATCCAATTAATGTCCCTTGAGGAGCAAATCTATGGGACTGTAGTCACCTGTGACAGAGCAAGGTAAATTTGGGTGTCATCTGCATAATTATGATATCTGGTTATGGAAGCATGTAGGTTAAATGTTAATAGAAGAGGTCCGAAGACTCCACTGTGGGGAATTTCACACATCATGTTGGTCTACTCAGATGCTTAATTACCTGCTGAGACAAAATTGTTCCTTTCCTGCAGATAGGATTTGAACCACTTAAGCACCATGCCTGAGAGCCAAACCCAGTTTTGATGTCTGTGCAGTATTATTGTACGGCCAACTGAGTTGACATCAAATGAGAGTTTTAAAAAAAACAGTAACAACATAACAACACCATTCATTCACTGCTGCTCTGGTCTTCTCTCATTCAGGGTAAGCTAACAACCAGCTTCACTGACACCCCTTCACCACTCACCCAAACCAGGGTAAGACCACAGCTGGTCTCTGTACATTTGGTCTGTCAACTTCACCTTTTACATCCAAGTGGAAAGTCTGAAAATTGTAATAAAAAAAATGAGTCAAATAGTAGATTCAGAATTAAATGTTGATATTTTACAGTTAAATTGATCTGGGAGTCAAGAAACAATATGTCTCAGTACTGTACAGGTTGACAGTATGGAACATATTTAACACTGCAAATTTTATTACAAAGAAGATTTTAATTCTTTGTAATACAAATTTGCAAGTGTTGCACAATATATTAAGATATTAACAAAGGAATAGATCAAAAAATGCATATGTTGTCATTAAGTTTGTTCATTGATACCCAGTCCTTCTGAGAGTTTTGGCCTGTTTTTAAGAGTGTAATTAGTTTTTAAATGGAAAATCATTCCCTCTCTGGTCAGGTTGAAAAGCTGTCCTCAAAATAATTTTCCTAACGCTTTAAATGTGAATCTTCACTTTCAGCTCTTCTGACTGTGTTGAATTAATATCTGACTGTATTTGTTTTCATTCCTCCTTAATTATCTTGTGAAATTGTCTTCTTTTCTTCTTTGGTTCGACGTCATTTATTCCTGCCATGCTTTTATTTTCAGGGTTGAGTGACCAGCTAACTATTAAATGTCACCATTGTCTCTTTTGCTGCTGTCCAGGATCCATCATCTGCATTTAATTGTTACACTATGTGTCTGTATATGATTTGTATACTGTATATATGTTTGCACTGTACATATATACACATAAACTCATTGAAGCACTAATATCAAATGTGTGGATGAATAAATAATAATGTACAACTGTTTTCTCTCTTCTAGTCGCCATTTTTATCTTTTCTCTCTACTTAAATATTTTCATGAAACCCAAAGTTATTCTTATTTTTGAATTTTGCATTCCTTCATTACATTTTTTTCTTTTTCCTATTTCCTCAGTTGCTTCTATTTCTTCTTTACATTTCTCCTTTTCTTCTCCTTCCTCCTCTAATTCACTTCCTACTCTTTCTTCCTTACTTTCATTCATCTCTCACTGTATTCTTCATACCAACCAGGCCCAGAGCCTCCAACCAATATAATCTTCAGTGAGATGACAGAAAACTCTCTGACAGTGTCCTGGACCAAACCAAAGAGTCCCATCAGTGGTTTCAAAGTCACCTACACCCACACTGAGGAAGGTAAGAACCTGAAGTCATGTTTTATTTCTTTTTTTTCATAATTCTATTCAACAGCTGCTTCCTGGGTTTTCTAAAGTAAGCAATAATTATCAATTATCTTTTTTCTAAAGTGTCCTTATAGTCAGTTGTACTGGTCCCTTTCAGAGTCATTATTTGTAATAAAGCATCAAAATAGCACCAAGTTTAATAGATAGATAGATAGATAGATAGATAGATAGATAGATAGATAGATAGATAGATAGATAGATAGATAGATAGATAGATAGATAGATAGATACTTTATTTATCCCCTAGGGGAAATTCATGATAACATGGGCCTTATTTTTGTAGTCATGGCTTAGTTTCTGCACATGCTAATACAATTCTAGTAGATACAGTATATACTGTATGTTAAAAGACTAAAACATTTTCTTGGGGTTAACAAAAACTCACCAGTCTTCCTCTTGGAAGATAACTCGACTGTTGCCATATAGAAGAAATTTACCCCAGACAACCATGCTAATAATAATACTTGATCCTCTGTGTGTAGGAGAGCCGGTGTCGGTGTCCCTGGACTCAGAGGAGTCCACCGTCAGCTTGTCGCAGCTCTCTCCTGGTTCCACTTACGAGGTCAGCGTCATCTCCATCCTCGGACTGGACGAGAGCGATCCAATCAAAGACACTGCCATGACACGTGAGTACTGCAGCAGGTTTCTCACCTCACTTTAAGTGTGACTTGGATTCACTGTGAATGACACACAAACTGAGGAAATGACAAACTGTGGCAAGTTGATGACTTTAGACTTTGCATGACTGTCTAGACTCAGTGACATTGCAGATGTTCCGGTTTTCTTTCTCCATCTTGGCTCCTCAGTTCACATTGAAAGTTGTTTCTTGACCTTGGGACTATAATAAATTCCAATATACAAAATAATTTTAGGTTTTCATAAAAATGAATGGAAATAATATTTATAATTATAATTACAGATTACTGTAAAAAATATTGGTCTTCTTTTGCACTCACAATGTTCATATCATTTTTTTTCTGGAGTAAAAGAAGCAGTTTTGCTGATTCTCTAAAACAAGAATTTGGCAGCTAATTTTTAACAACTTAGCCATTTTCTGTTTTTATTTTTTATATAAAACTAAATTCAAGACAGAAAAGCTAAAGTCTAAACCTGCTGTGTAAAGATTTAGAAGTCCCATCTTGTATAATATCTGTAACAGGTGCTGGATCTGGAAAGGATATGTGTGTTATTTTTAGGTTTCCTCAGAGGAGGCTCATCTTGGATTTGTGTTGTTGCTCTGTCTTTAGTCATTCAGATTATTCCCAGCGCCCATAGTGTAACTGTTGACACACCAAGTATCTCAGTGTGAAATCCTCTGTGCTTTCTTTATGGGTTCTTCATGTGTGCTGTGTTTCTATGATGCAAATAAATTGAAATCAATATATATGTCACTATCTTTAATCCTCTCTCAGTCCCTGACTCGCCTACAGACCTCCGGGCCATAAACATCACTGACACCAAGGCCTTGTTATTGTGGCGTCCAGCGTTGGCTGCCATCGATAAGTACGCCATCGTTTATGGCTCGGGTACAGGTACGTGGTGGTGCGTTTATGCTCGTAGTGTTTAAACTTAACATTTTTGTGTTTGCCATCATGTTTCTTTCTTCTGACCTACTCATGTGTTCCAGCTGCACTTCAACTGTTCATAGACTTTCCATTGTAAAAGGAGTTAAAGTGGGCTTATGTCATTTTCTAATGAAGAAATAGTTAAGTTGCATTTTTCGGTTAAATGACATTTAAACGTTGGCATCATTAAATCAGTTTCCTGCCCTGATTAGAAACGCCACCTGAGCAGCTGATTGTGTCTGTCCAGGTTCAGAGATCAGGATCACGGTGTCTGGAAATGCAGCGGAGCAGCAGCTGAGCGGCCTGGAGGAATCCACCACCTACACCGTCACCATCACCAGCCAGCTGGGCAGCCAGGAGAGCTCAGCAGCCACCACCAGCTTTACTACCACCAGTGGTCAGCACACACACATGCACACACACACAAATTTTGATATCACTACAACCATACCTACACCTTCATTAAAGCCTGAGGTGAATAGTGAAACTCAAATGACTCTCCAGGCTCTGGGAAGGACGGGGACGGGCCTCGAGATCTCCAGGCCAACAATGTGACCCCTCGCACCGCCCTGTTGTCATGGAAACTACCCTCAAAGCCTGCTGGTAGCTACAGGCTGACCTATGAGACGGAAGGTCACGAAAATAAGGTATGATTTTAATTGTTTCAGTTGAAAAAAAAAAAAAACTTTTGCAACTTGACGTTCAACACACAAAACAATCTTTTAAAAATTAAAAATAACAACTCATTATTTAATTTATAATTGTTTGAGAAGCTGTAACCTGCAACGTTTTGGTACTTTTTCTTACTAAATTTATTATGCTTTATTTTAAACATCTGTAATTATCTACAGAAGAACTTTTTAATTTGATTTGACTTTAAGAATCCTGAGTGCATTTTAACTCCATATTCATTTTGCATGTTCAGCTGACCTGCTGTACACCCACAAATACATTTTTAAATGAACTGAAACAAATTCATTGGAAGAATCATTTATAGACTCATGAAATAAAGCTGATAAATTATTTAGAGGTTAGTTAAACAATTAAGTAATCATCAAAATGATCATTTCTGTTGATCAAATGATTTAAGCTTTACTCAGTAGACGACTCTTCACCACCAAACTCCGGGTTTTTCCTAAACAGGAAGTGATAGTGGACGCCTCGGTGACGGAGTACAACCTGACCGGACTGCACCCTGGATCTAAGTACACGGTGCAGTTACAGGTGGAGGGAGGAGGGGAGTACTCCACCATTTCCACAGAGTTCACCACCGGTACAACAGCGTCTTGCATATTACATTACTCTCATAGTTGTTGGTTAATAAAGGGTTAAACTGCTGCCCCACCTCTAATGTTCCTCTTCCTCCCTCCTCCCTCCTCTTCCTCAGACCCCCTGAGGTTCCCCTTCCCCAGCGACTGCTCTCAGGAGCTGCTGAACGGCATCAGGACGTCTGGCGAGGCGGAGATTTTCCCTCATGGGAGACAGGGGACACCGATGATGGTTTACTGTGACATGGAGACAGACGGAGGAGGCTGGACGGTACGGTGACATCAAGAGATGAGCCCTGTTCCTCAGCCTCAGGTTATGTTAAGGTTTTCCGGTGTGGAACCAGGTCTGTCCTGTCTCCTGTCTGCAGGTCTTCCAGAGGAGGAAGGACGGCTCGGTGGATTTCTTCAGAGGCTGGAAGGACTACATCAGAGGATTTGGAGATCTAAGTGGGGAGTTTTGGCTCGGTGAGAGAGACAGCGGGCTGGGTATCGTTAAATCAAATTCAGTACCGGTTCCTGAACGATTCTTTTTTCTGTACCAATTTTACAAAATCCATTTTAACATAAAGAAAATTACACATTACAGTAACATTAAGTTTAGAAAACAACTGTGTGCAATTTGGCAGAATTTTTATGTTTGCATAATGTTACCAGCTAAAATCCTGTCCCAGGGGATTGGGGGGGGGGTCTGGTGGTGGAGATTTTTAAAGAAGCCCTGTAATGCCAGTCAGACTTGAATCCTGAGAGTAGGACGGCTGTGGTCAGTTCTTCATGGAATCGAACACAAAGCGACTTTCTGTGCTTAAATTCATTCCACAAACTTTCAAGTGTTTCATCAGATTCGTCATGTTTCTGGTCTCGGCAGCTATGTCCTTTGCAGGGACACTGCTCACTACAGGAGCCCCGTAGTCAGGGGATGATCCTCATCTTCATCACGGTCTTCCTCTGTCACTGAGACAAACTCTCTAAGTTCTCTTTAGGAAAAACCCTCAAAGTGCCTCTGAGCAAGGCACTGATCCCTGCAGTAAACATGGTGTAAGTTTGAGAGGAAAAAAAGTGAGAAATATTAGGTTTTTGAGGCTTGAAGCATCAACAGTTCAGTGGTAAAAGGTGTGGAGGTGCTACTAGGTGTTGTAACAGAATCTCATCAGAGAGTCTTGTTTGTCTCCTGCTCCTTCAGGCCTCGACAGACTGCACAACCTGACAGCAATGACCAGGATGAGTCTGCGTGTCGACCTGCGAGACGGACGCGAGTCGGCGTTCGCCAAATACTCAACGTTTGAGGTGGCCAGGAGGAACTACAAACTGACTGTGAACGGATACAGTGGCACTGCAGGTGAGACGAATCAGTGGGCTGGAATGGAAAACGTGGTCATCTCAAAACCCGCTGAGCACGTGCATGAAATTAGTATCATGTTGTGATTTTCTTAATATTGAACACAGCTTTTAGTATCCGTTATAACCCCCCGTGTCCTCTCTGCTCCAGGTGACTCTCTCAGCTACCACAACAACCGGATCTTCTCCACCAGAGACCGTGACCTGGCACCGTTCATCACCCGCTGTGCCATGTCGTACCGAGGAGGCTGGTGGTACAAAAACTGCCACGAGGCAAACCTCAACGGCCTCTATGGCATCGACGTCAAACACCAGGTAACATCTGATCACAAACCTACCTCATGAAACTGATGATGGTTTTGTTACTGCAGGGATGAATCTCTGGACTTGTTGTTCTGTTTACTGCAAGTGTTGCTGGAGCTCAGAAGACTTAGGAATCAATCCAGAAGCTGAAACCATGGAAGCACAACGAAACAATTAAAAAATCATATATAATTTTGGTTCTTTTTTCTTATACACACTTTCTCTTACTATTTTAAGTGCCCGTTTGTAGACTTTAGTCACAATGTCAAATTCAAGTTCATATTTATTGTCATTGACATACAAGTGTACAGAGAAAAGAAATGTTTCTTTCTGGGGCCAATGTCCAAAATCACCAGATAAGACTCAATCAGTGACTGAGACGCAATCAGTCTTCAAATGCAGCCTCCAAAGGATGCGGCCCTCTAATTGGGTTGTAGCACCTGTAGTTTGGGTTAAGATAAGGACTTCCTTAAGATTAGAGGTCCTTGTTGTCGTGGTTACAATAATACCAACGTGGTTAAGGTTGTGGAACAGTCATGAATTAAAGAAACAATGTAAACTACTTGTTTCACACAGGAATCGAACACCGGTCTCCATTCCAACCTCCTACTATGGTTACCACACAACCAGACGTCTTCTGTTGCTCCTGTCATAATTACTACGGCCACTAGATGTCACCAAACAATAAAAATTTAACTGTGGGTGTGTGTGTGTGTGTGTGTGTGTGTGTGTGTGTGTGTGTGTGTGTGTGTGTGTGTGTGTGTGTGTGTGTGTGTGTCTGTCTGTCAGGGTGTGATCTGGACCAGCTGGAAAGGAAAAGAGTTCTCCATCCCGTTCACTGAGATGAAGATGAGACCAGCATCCTTCAGTCCTCCAGCCAGAGGATGAGAGAGAGAGAGAGAGAGAGAGAGCACGACAAACAATGAACTGCTAAAACACATGCATGGACAGCAGTGTGTCAATTCATGTGCAAACACACATGCATGTGACCACACACACACAGCAGACTGAACACACACACACACCGTCATTTTAACAGAGAGCCTCGCTCTCACCTCAGAGGAGATGAAGACGTATTTTTTCATTTGTATAGAGGTCAGTTATCAGTATATTACTGTTGATTGTACAGTTTCCTCTGTTTTATCTTTTTCTCTTTAAAGCAGGGCTGCTTAAACTATATTTAAAGGGTCACTTCACCCAGTACACAAAAACATTTCCACAGGTGATGTCTACCCATGCAGATACTTTTAGTTTCTTGTGCCAGTATTTTGAAATATCTGAAACTTTTGCCACCAACCTATGTAATGCAGTTTTACCCGTGTAAACTGTTCTCATCGCATTTTCCAGCAGCGTGCTGCAGAATCAGGTGCAGACAGCAAGCATCCGAGGGTGAGAAGGGACGAGAGTTACCGTAATTACCTGTTTCCCCGCCTGTAAATAGTGTCAACATCCATCCAAATACATCCAACTTCTAACTTACTGATACAGAAGTGCCTGAAAACCCGTGCCTGTCATTTTTACCTCAGTCAGTTTGAAACCAGGTGGTCAGCAAGACTGAGGAAGTTTCAGCCATATTTTGTCGAATTTTTAAATCGTGAAGCACATATGTAAAAATGTGTTTTTATTACCAGTATGTGGTTTTTGACGCACAGCAGAAAAAGAAAAATCCTATAGGTGTAATACTGTTCAGCCAATCATTAAATGACTACATGTCGTTCATTCATTGGTCTGTTTGCACTATTAAAAGCTAACCATTGTGTTCCGCTTCCCTGTTTCTCTTGTAACTGAGGCTGATGTTTGCAGCAGTTTTGTCATTTTTGGTCTTCATGTTGATGAACGCTGCAGCTCAGACATCACTTCCTGTCTGTGCATGCAGGCTTTTCACCATGCCTGATGTAAGTAAATAACTAACACACTACGTGCGACATTGTTTGAAATAGGAATGAACAGAGCGTTACACATACAGTAAAATGCAGAATCATTATTACAGTCATTTGTTGCTGATGTCTCCAAAATGTTTAATTTTCAACAACTAATAAAAACTGTTTTGTTTTTATCTGGTTGTATTTTTGACTCAATGATGTGGCCTTTCATTTGTTTGTTCAGATTTTTGCCTGACAAGAGGAGCTGCTTTGTTAAAAAAATTAAATTAAAAATTAAAAATAAAAATTGCAGTTTCTGATCAAATTAACCTGAAACCAAACCAGACGCCGGATCAGGATGTGGATGAGGTTTGAAGCCTGTAGAGACTCTTCGTGGTGCCCTCTCTGCAGGAGCCACACTGGCTTCAGTTTAGCCCTGCTATAAAGCTCGGCAGTGCCCCCTGCTGTATCAGATGTGGTTCAGTGTTCATTGGGGTGCAATTCTGGACACATTCAGGTGAGTGATGGAGAATTTTGTTGGTACTTGTTGTGGTTCAGGTGCCAGCTGTCCTCTCAGTGTTTGTCACTGTTGTCTTTTTGTAAATCTGATTTATTTTACTTTCTCTGTAAAAGAATACAGTAATAAAATGACTGAGATTTAAAGCAGCATGGTTCCATCTGTTGATGTTTATCTGTCAGATAAAACATTCACTACATGTAATTTATGTACATGTACTCTAAATTCCATTCAATCATTTATGAATTTTCACTCACTTCAATTACAAAAAACTATAAAATATAAGCAACACAATGTAGCCTATGAGCTTTGATCAAAAAGAAGGAAAGTCTTATGTTAACTCCTCACTTCTCTAACAAATGGTCTCCACATTTGGACATGACCTCAGTGTCCTCGAAGGTAAGTGTCCAAGAGCAGAGAGATAGATAGAACATAGTCCCATTTTGTTGAGTTGAAATAAAAGATCTAAGACTGACCACACACACACACACACACACACACACCCATTGAGCATGTTTGGGATGCTACAGATCAACATGTACGACGGCAGGATCCACTTCCTGCCAACAACCAGCAACTTCACAGAACCGGTGAAGAGCAGCAGTCCAACAATCAACAACCTGATCAACTCTGTACAAAGCAGATGTGTCGCACTGCAAAATAATATAAAATAAAAACTGCACATTTTAAAGAGGCCTTTTGTTGCGACCAGCCTGAGGCACACCTGTGCAGTAATCGTGCTGTGTAATCAGCATGTGGATATGACACACCTGTTAGGTGAATGGATGATCTTGGCGAAGGAGAAATACTCAGTAACGTGGGTTTAAATGCATTTTGTGAAGAAAATGTGTCTTTAGAAAAATAGGAGCAAAAATAAAAGTAAAAGTGTTGGTTATTTATGGCATCAGATTTGAGTCAAACAGAAACTAAATAAATAAATGAATGGAAAGTGAAAAAGAAATAAAATGAAAGCAAAAAAACATGACCTCAAAGGCAAAAGCTCTGCTGAAATGTCAACCTGCTGATGACTGATCTTCAGTCTTTCATGTGTTTTTATTTATTTATTATTATATTATATTATTTGTGTGTTTTTCGCTGCTGAATTTTATGAGCATATTTGTGGCCTGTTTTAATGGGTATCAACTCAATTTAGTGAATATCTTTTTTCCATCATGTAGCATTATTTGCAAGTCTTCTTATGGACACAGGCAAAGAGATAATCCCATCATGTGTCTATGAGTGGTGTCGTCAGTCGTGTTTCTTCAGTTAAACAGGGAGAAAATGTGACATGAAAGAAAACAGTTTGGTCCACACACACACAGCTGAGGGATCAAGGGAAAGATCATTTCTTCCTCAACTGCAGATCCCAGATGTCCTTTTAAACACCCTTTGTTTTGTTTTTTTAATTGGTCCCCAGGGTGCAGCCCCCCCCCCCCCCCTCGCCCATCTGCTCACCAGGTGGCCAATCAGATCAGTTCTTACCAACGCCCTGAGCCACCAGGGCCTCTTGTTTACAGGTGTGTGCCTGGACGTCACCTGGGACAGCCGGGGAGGCGGGAGGGGACCGGCGTTGATCCTGCTCTCTGATCTGATACTGGGAGAGTGATTGGTGGAGGATGGAAGGTGGAAGCTGATCTCAGGTCAGCAGCCAGAGAGTGAAACTGATCCCAAAACCACAAGACAGGAGGCTGCAGACAGAGACACCTGGAGGAGTGAGAGCGCTCAGGTGGAGGAACAGGGAGACGTTAAGGAGAAGCTACAGTGACGCAGAGAGGAGTTTGTTTTTCCACAGAAGACTTTTCTAAAAGCAGGAAGAGAAACTCAGGACTTCACAGAGCATGAGAAACACCACCACTTTTTACAGTGTTGTGGTGTTTGAGGGGTTCCTTCAGAGTGCCAACCAGAAGCCTCCAAACAAGACAGGTAAGCTCCTTTAACAGGCTGCGACTCATGATCAGTTACTGATCAATCTGCTGATTGCTTGGTCTTTATTATAGTGAAGAATGCCTGTTAGAATTTCCTCAAGCCCACGCTGTTGTTTGCCTTATAGCCGTGACATTATACACTAGGAAAATGCACAGGCCATCTGGTCAATGTACACTCTAGCTATTTAATAGTTTAATTTAATAGTATATTTATAATGTTTCATCTTGGAGCTTCTATCCTATGTAGTCCTCTTTAGTTTTAGGAGGCAAATAGAAAAAGATTCAAAGTAGATATTGAGCCTAACTTGATTGATATTAATACAAACATATTTTGATTGTTTTTACAGTAAGTACAGTAAGTTATGCTTAGAATATAAAATACAATCATGGTTTCCCTTATACTGATATTTAATTTGTAATACACAAATGTTGATATTTTGCCTATTTTACATTGTGGCCAGTAGGTGTCGCACTGTTCACATGAAGCATCAAGAAATGAACCTTTTCTTGAAACACTTTGCTGGAATGATTCCCTGCTTTGAGAGGCTTCATCTCACCATCAGTACATGCAAGTGAGCCATCTTACAATGAAACAGGATCTCTGATAATAAAGTAAACCCAAAACCTGCAACGTTGTCGAACTTAGAGATCCGAGTATTTTACTTACTGACAGCGGAAGTAAAATTGGTGGGTTATTCAGTGATCATTGCCCAATCCACACACATGGACAGTCTATAAATGCAGGTAGCTGTGCTCCGCCCTGGTTCTTCCCTGCACACCCCAGTTCCTGTTCACTCAACTTCTGAAATTCTGCGTTTATTTGTCCCCCAGTTTCTTTTCCTTTGCTGTTGTTATAAATATTATTCTGGCAAAGTCTCAGCCGAATCTGTCTGGGCAGAGAGATCCGGCTGGAGTGTGGTCCGACTGGGGGCCCGAGTACAACAACTCACAACCAAGCCCAAAGTACAGCACAAGTGCCAGAGTCGGCCCATTGCCATCGGTGGTGGTGGGCCAGGATGGGTACCCTTCCCTTAGATGCAGGATGGAATCAGGTTACATCGAGAAATGACTGTCACAAACACACAAAATCCATAAACAGCAGCAGTAAGTGAACAGAAACTTTTAAGTCCAACTGCAGCTGTGGATGAAGTTGCAGTTAAGAGTAAATTATAATCACGCAACATTCATAAATATACAGTTCAATCATTTAAAAGGCTTGAATGTCTCATATACTACTCCTGTGCCCAATGACAGTTAAGTCTGTATTTGGAATCATGCATCACTCTTTCCTAAAGCTGGGAATCAGAGAGAATCCTCAAATGGGGCTACTTCATAGACAACACAAGAGGCACTGACTTTATTAGGTATCAGTGGATGACAGTCCATTAAAATGTTGATTAAATGTCATAAGCAGCAGATGAAAATGTGGAATGCAGGAATTGCATTATTCTTGTTAATTGAACCCCCCACATGAAGTGATACAGTAGAAGACTTGCTCTCATCAGTCTGGCAACTCACAGTATCAGAGCCCCATTTATATGTGTGTCCGGATGTTTAATGTCAAACACTTGTTGTTGTTTATTTATAGAGATGTTAAATGAGTCTGTTTTTATCTCTCTAACAAGGGCTGTGATTCTAGAGAGGACTGATAATTACCCTCTCTACCTTCTCAGGACAATCATGATGTCGCCAGACGACCGAGCCCTGGAGGACCTGTTGTACGGCAGTGACCTTGGTGATGAGGCAGAGGGCTCGGAATTGGGCGGCGGTGACGGCCCAGTGGGGGTCGAGGAAAGTGCTGCTGCAGACAATGTAAGCATAAAGACAATAAGATGATTATTAAAGCTGCAGTATTCATCTTCATTAGTGAGGCAACATTTGTCACTATTGTCTGCTGCGTTCACTTTCTGCCCCCTCAGCCTCTTACAAATTCTGCTTACCAAGTTCACATCATGGACGTTTTCACAATTACTCCTCCTCAGCTCGTAAATATTGTTAACATAGTCATCCAGTCCCATACAGAGATGTAATATGTGAAATATATGTCCCTATATCAAGAGTGATGTTGCCATATATGTCACCTATAAGGGGATATATTATTATCACATATATACATCCTCTGGATATATGAACAAATAAGTTAACAATATATTTGAAATGCCATGCCCAAATTTGTATAATATATATATATATATATATATATATATATATAAGTATCTATGTGATGAATTTTTACATAGAACGTAAATGTTTTCTACATAAAAAGTATGTGTTGCATTATATATTTAATTAAAAGTTTGTTAGTTTATTTAAACAAAAATCTATGTGTTTATATATGTTTTTCTTCTTCTTATTAATTTCACATTAATTTTAAACATGTCTAACTTCACATTCTGGGATAGGGGTCTCAGACTTTTGGACCATACTGTTTATAATATCAGCATATACTGACAGGCTGTGGCATTGATATATATTTATGTAACATAGTTCTACAATATAAGCATACATACATAAATGTATATATTTGTATAGGCTGGATATACTGTATATGAAGTCGTTCCGATCTGAATACGTTTCATATATAATTTTTACATATATGTATAAAATATAAAATAAAAATGTACTGTATATTTATGGAATATGGAATTTCTATATATGTACATATATTACATTTGCATATGGGGTTGGACATTACAGATGG